CCTGAAGCCTAACTAGCATACAACTTTGATAATTAAAACATAAAAACAAGTTAGATGATTACTTCTTTGTTGTAGTTTGTAGAACGTGGGCTTACAAGATCTTAGCACCTCAAGTGTAATGCCTCAAATGTTACACAAAACACCAAGAACAAATGGAGGATTATGAGAGAGGTTTAGGAGGCACCCAAAATCGTCTATATTCTTCTTAGAATACACATATGTCTAATTTTAGGGCTTAGGGGTTACATATATAGTGTAGAATTCCAAGGGTCACTATAAACCCTAATCCATCCACTTAGGCTTTTGATCCAATAATTCATTTGGACTAATCACTTCATGGACTCTCACATAAGCTTAGTCCATCACTAATCAATCATGGATCATTAGCTCAAACTATATGTATCATTAATTTACATAATCAACCCCTGTTAATTTAATCAGTCTCTTTTGATCACTAAATTAATTCTTGATCAATACCAATTAAATAATATGATTTCTAATTAATATATTATTCTTATAATATATTAATAAATCACAAATAACCTCTTTCTCAAATATCCTTCCTATCAAATTGCTTCGGTGAATGCAACCCAAATGGACCATGCTACTATCGGGTCAAGTACATACCAATTATAGTTATGGGCTTAGACACCTAATCCAACATTCCCAACTCTAATCTATGACACAAGCTCTCAACATATCCTCAAGCGTCTAAATGGTCAACTCGCTCTAAACATCAGTCTGCGGATGACAAGCAGTGATAAAGTGAAATCTCATAACCAGTTCCTCGTGGAACCTCTGCCAAAACTGTGAAGTAAATCGAACATCTCGATCAGATACAATAGAGACTGGAACGCCATGTTAATAGACGATCTCGCATATATACACATCGGCCAATTTCTTAGCCGATGAACTCTCTTGAATAGCTAGAAAATGGGCACTTGGTCAGACGATCCATAATGAACCATATTATGTCAAATCTTTTATCAGTCCTAGGTAAATTGGTGATAAAATCCATGGTGATATGTTCCTATTTCTACATGGGAACCTCCAAAGGATGTAGCTTTTCGTGTGGCCTCTGGTGCTCGACCTTGATCATTCGACATGTCAATCACCTCTCCACATACCAGGCTATCTCTCTCTTCATGAATGACCACCAATAACTAAGTCTCAAATCCCGATACATTTTTGTTGCTCTATGGTGTATTGAAAATATAGACTTATGTGCCTCCTCCATCAATGTCTTCCTAACCACACCAAAATCTGGAACCCAACCCGCCCGCACTGAGTCAACAATCCATGGCTATCAGTATAAAACCTGACAATCTCACCCTTGATTCTCCTTCTTGACTCCCTCGGCATGAGTCTCTTTGGTAAACTCCATAAGCGGTGAATAGATAGAAATCCTCATGCATAGACCCCCAACATAAGTACTGGCCAACTTGCGACTCAAAGCGTCAACGGCCACATTCGCCTTTTGAGGGTGATACAGAATCTCGCAATCATAATCCTTGACCACGTCAAGCCATCTATGTTGCTTCATATTCAGATTCGGCTGGTCCATGAGATATCTCAGACCCTTATGATCTGTGTAGATGGTATATTGGAACCCATATAGATAATGTCGCCAAATATTAAGTGCAAACATCAACGCGTAAGTGCAGTAAGGAAAACTCAATGTGCCAGCGTTGGTGCCTTCAACCCGTAAGTACATTGATGAAAACTCACCTCTACTAATGATAACTGAAACAATACTCAATCTGCAGCGAACACTGCTCCTCACACTAAATCAAAACCAGAAACAAACCCAATCAATAATTAGGGTTTAACCCAAACCCATGGTCTAGTCTATAGCTCATCGTGATGAGGGAAAAAGACCATTTTGCCCTTTATATACAAGCCCAACTAAACTAAGCCCAAAACCCCTAATGGCCTAAGGCCCAAAATCGATCCATTGGGCTTTTGCTGAGAGCGCCTGGCGTTCCACCCTATGACGCCTGGCGTCCGAACGTTGGGCATTCCCATGCAAACGCTTGGCGTTTGCTCGCTGATTGCCAACTTCCAAACTAATGTCTTAATGGCTTAAGATCTCATGTCCAAACTTCAGATCCAATCATAATGGAACATTTAAAGCCATAAAGTTGCAAACTTTATGGCCATGCATGGCTACACTAAGCCCAACACCAAGATCCTCACTCAAAATCAATTATTAGGCTCCAAAACTCTTGCATGGAAGATTATTAAGACCCAAGATTGCATTTTTATGATTCTAGACTCACTGTTATGCTTGAAAGGACATTCCAAACCTCTGAAGCATTCCAAACTTACAAAGATCAAGTCTTTGGGACCAAAAAGAACATAAGCTAGCCCTAAATCAAGATCTAACAAATGAGACTTTAAGATCTGAACTTTATACCTCAAAATGATGCTCCAAGATGTTAAGAGTCCAGATCCGCAAGCTCGAGAGCAACCACAATACTCTAAAGATCTTCCTTCTCTTATCAAGAACACTAAATGATACCAACAAGATGAATCAAGGCTTCAAACTCTCATACACACTTAGGGTTTTTGAAATATTGATGGAGGCTATAGTGGTGAAGGGTTTTGAGGCCATAATGTTCTTTAAATAGGGTGCAAACCCTAAAAAAGGTTTGGTCTCTGTGTGCAAACGCTTGGGGTCCATCATAGAACGTCTAGCATTTGAACTAAGCGTACTATGCCAAACGCCAGGCATTTGGATAAAAGACCTCATCATCGGGATGTTACAATCATCAACCAACATCATTAGTTTTGCCTCATCGTTTGCAGATTCATCAACATCAACTATATGAGAAGCATCAGCAAGAGCCATACCTTTATTCCTATAACCACCCCTTAGGGCCGGCTCAAACAGTTTTGGGGCCCAAAGCAACCCAAAAATTTGGGGCCCTTTGATAATTAGTATAGTTAATGTTATAAACTTTTCTCCATTATCCGGGTTGGGACCGACAATAATAAACTAAAAAGTTTATAAATGGCGGAGTATTTTATTAATAATAACAATTTGGTATTTTTCTGTCCCAATATTCAATAAGTACTTCTTATAGGTTTAAAGCTTCTAAGATGTATTAGTTTAAACCTTAACAATTTATTCCACATAATATCGACTCTTAAATTTGAATAATGTATTTTTGGTTAAATTCTTTTTAATCTTGCAAATTAGTTTTTATTTTTGCATGTTGTAATTAATCAAACTTGAATGGGTTTAACGAACTAAAACAAAACATACATAAGAGATAATTAAACTAATTAAAAAGAAATAGTTGAGTTATGATCCTATTACTCCTCTGTTTGATAGAGAGAATACACGATAAGATACATTTTTCAGTGAAATTTGAAAACAATTTCATGGCATTTGACTTCAAGAACAAGTCTATAATAGAATCATATGACATGAAAACAAGATTAGATGAAGAACAGATGGATCATGGAACTTGGAAGAAGTCGTATATTACCGTTTATGGAGAAGGCTTCAATGAGAAGGAAGAAACGGCTTCAATGGAGAAGGAAGAAGCCAAAGAACAGATGGAACTTCGAAGGAGCCTTGTGCTGTGAAATCGTGAATCAGAAGAAGAATAAGATCAAGCCGAACACAGAATCCTTACGCAAATTGCAGAATTGAATAATGGAGAGGAAGAAGATCAAGTGTCGTTTTTTCTGGTGCTACGATTAGTTTAGTGGTTTAGCGCCTTAGCCGATTAGGAAATAGGAATATACTACATGGACTCCTTGGTTTGTGGGGCCCTCTATACGTGGGGCCCTAAGCCCTAGCTTTGTTTCAATAAACATAAGGCCGACCCTACCACCCTCATCTACAAGGTCATTATAAGAAGGAACATGGTTCATTGTCATAGGTAATAAATTACATATTTGGTTACTTCCAACACCAGAAGACCCATTTTCACCGGAACGATTTTCCCCGGCAAATCGATGAATACCACTGTTCATAACATTACTAATAACAAACAGTTGTAATGTGTTGAGAGGCATACTACTAACAAAACTATATATATATATATATATATATATATATATATATATATATATATATGTTATCACTATCGTCTAGAATCCGCATAACTATATTTGATCAATGACATTGAAAAGATAGACGTGTTTGGTTAGTGTGTAACCTGGACTTAGAAGTAAGCAACGTAATTAACCTGACAAAGTTGATATCATTGTTTATATCTACATTAAAGCATGTGTAGCCTGAAGCAATATATTGCATGTCATTCAATACGTTGTCATTACCCTCCACTAGAAACTGACATTTGAAAAAATCTCATATATGTACCCATTCTAGAACGTGTAGTGAAAGTATCAAAAACACAAATATATTGCTTATATAGAAATTTATAGAACAAAAACACACAATACCCTAATTATAGCTCTCCGGAACAAACCTCTGGAATGTACGGCCATTCTGGAGTACAATCCGGAATACACTTTATCAGTTTGGAATGTACAGGATGTCAGATTCCAGGCCTAATTCCTACCAACCACCACCCACAACTCTGGAATGAAAATAAATACTCCGGAATATCGTGTTCTGAAATACTTTGAGCGACCCAAGTACAGAATGTTCTTACGTGCTCCGGAATACACTATTCCGAATAGAGTTGTCATTTCTTAAAAAAATAATAACAATAAGTTGGTTAATTTTAGTAACAAAGTCGTTTATAGTTTACTCGATTTCCCATATAAATATGTGCCCATTAATCATTATGAATAAAAAAGTATAACTACATTGTTGTTTTAGGTAAATAAAATAAAGTATATTTACCCATATTTGTAGGCAGAGGTTTGTTATACTCACGAAAGAGTACAAACAAACCAATTCGAATCCGAAGCAAAATCTGTGTATCTAATTCTCTTGCAACTCACTTTAGTATGTAGTATATACAACAAACCAATGTGCATGAGTTACCATATAGCACACCAGCAGCTCAGGGTTCATATTAGCACACCAGCTCAATAACCCGATCTAAATACAAATCAACAATCATAAAACATATGACTAACTACACGTGTAAAAAAAAAATTCTAATCTTAAAGTTAAAATCCCCAAAGGCATATATTTATATATCTATAAGTTTATCTTCTTAGTTTTGTTGAGTTTTTTGTAGTTGCTTGCTTACACATGCAATCCGGCATGGGGTAAGTGAAAAGTGAGGCAGTTGGCTTCTTCAGTTCGCTCCCCTTTACATCACTATGATGAAGCATTTCCCGCAGTTGCTTTTGAAAGCTCTCCCATCTAAACATCACAACAATGAGCAACATCATCCTTTGTATCGTTTTTTTGAGAAAATGTTAAAACTAAGTTATCAGTTTCATGATTTGATGTTATACCTGATATGGGGGCTATCAAACAATTGAGCTAATTTTCTCTTGTCAGGTATTATTGTCTTTGCATGTCCTTCATAAAAATAGCGTCTGTGACCAATTAAAAAGTGTGGAAAATTTCCTCCCTGAGTAGTAACAAAAACCTCACTATGTAGACATAACGTATAATCAAGAGCAGCCAACCTAGACGAGTACCCCTGCATCAAAAACAAACAGTCAGCAACTAAAGTTGAGGGACCAAAAGTGTAAATTTCAGATGTATATTACCATAAATGGAGCGAGCTCCTCAGGTGAAGCTAACGTATCCTTTGTTTCTAACCGAGGAAACATTTGTTTAAGTGGGGCCATATATTTTTCCGCCTTGTAGATTTTACCAGCTGCCACATATACAGAAGTATTGTTATCAAAGCCCATGCCTCTAAGCATCATTCCAACCTACAAATTAAACAAAGAAAGGGAACTTTTAGTCTTTCAAACATTATAGTTTCAATTATTAATAGGCAAGAGATTGTATTGTTATTGTACCTCGAGGGGGGTTAAAGGGCATTTTCCATCCATTCTAATTGCACCGGGTTTTATTATCCGATTCTTTTTCCGGAACTTTCCTCTCCAACTTCTTTCACGGGCAATATCCATTTCTTTTTGTTCTTCCTCCCCACCATCATATATGCAACATGAAAAGGCAACCATGTCCTTCAAAATAACCAAACATTTTTTCAGGACCATTTAATAAAGATTTGGGTTAAATGCATTTAGTCTTCAAGTTGTGCACCTCTTCAAAACGGAGATGAACAGAAATATATTTTCCACCACTGCTAGAACTATTACGGATCATTCTATCAACCATTTTTGCTGCAAGTGTGCGTATAGGTTCTGAAAACCTAAGTGCCCCAAAGTTGGAAAGACATCTATGCCCCTGGATATCTGAAGGAACAGCATGAGCCAATCTGTTAGAGAATGGCGCAATACGTACAGCCCTGCACAATCAATAATGTCGCAGCCCTGGTTGTTAAAATAGACGGAAATAGTCAACAGTTTTATGATACAAAAAAAGAAAAAACTACAAATTTTATTAAAACATAATCTATTGAGTATATTGGTATGATAATAATAAAGGAAAAAGGTTTGTAAGATGGCAGATTTACATACCCTAATTCCAGGAGCTTTGGCAAGACCTTTTGAAGGTAGTAAGTTGGACTTGACCAACCTTTGACTCTCAGATTTACAATGTTGCTTATGTTGTTGTCAAAACGTGTGAGTACATCTTCTGGTAATTCTCTAACCACATTCACATGACTTCTCAATGCGTATATGAAGAACTCCTCATCAAATATATCCCCAAACTTGCTGCAATTTGGAAACCGGGAAAGTATATAATGCACAGCATGAATAAAGACATGTTACATGGGAAATAAACATTTTGTTAACATGTTAGATGGGTACCATATTATAATAATGCACCCTATGTCCCAAATCTAGAATACTCATCAACAAAGAAACCTTATGGACCAAAATAAATGCAATAAATAATTCAAAAATTAGCTACACGATATTCTTATTAATCATGAATATATACAAGATTACAGGGATAATTTGGGCAGGATACACCAAATACAAATATAAGTCCAATACAAATACAAAGCCTATTTATAATTTACTAACAATAACAATTTACAGCAATTTCCTGGTCAGAAATAGGTTTAAAAAGTTGGGTAGCTTAACTGTCCAAAAATTCCTATGTGTAGCCTGAATGATAAAAAGTGAAAAGTAGTGTTGCCTAATTATATAATATTCATTGTATTTATTTGCAAAATTGCAAAATAGGAGGGTTTATTTATTTGATCAGGTAAGCTTCTTTGAACAAAGCAGAACTTATATTTATGACTAGTTAAATCATTATTTTATCACCAACTTTAATAAATTAATCACCTTCACATTAAATACAAGGCTCCACATCTGTCATTATACGTATATACCAAAAAAAGCTATTATCATTCTCCTTTGCAAAGATACAAACAAATATGGATAGTATGATTAATCATATACCAAAAAAAGCTATTATCGCCCTCGTAATCATAAACAGTTTTTGCCAAAACATTTAATATAAAAAGGAAAAACAATGGGAAGTTAATTTAACAGAATTTAAAAAATAATAATAATAATAATAATAAGCTACCTTGAATCACGCCATACACTGTTTAAATGAAACATTGGAATGACAAGTGTAGCATTCAGTAGCCCTGCCACTGCCACCGCATCACATATCTGATTTTGAGAATATATTAATTAACTAAATAAGTTTTATTTCATTAATTATATAACTAAATACCAAATTTAAAGTAAGGTTAGAAAAAGTACAGATAATCTTTGTTGGTTCAACCCCCCATTTGCTTCAATTATGAGGAACCCATTTGATTTTGGTAATTCTGGAATTGAAAAAAGAAGTTATATAAAGATATGATTTAGAGCAAGATAAAGAAGGAGAATCAGTTAAAAGATGAGTTCACAAACATCTAGTAATCAATCCCTTTCCATTTATAGTATTGCATGTTTGACATGTGTTCTACTTAATTATGGATTAAATTACTTGAAAAGCACTAACCTGCTTCAGAATTCTGGAGGGGAATACAGGGCTTCCAAGATTGACGTGTCTTCATGTTCCACACATTCATCATCTGTGATTTCCATTTTACATGCAGAAAGTTACAAATTTAGACACCTTCAAAATACAACTCTAGAAAACATGAAAATTAAAAAACAAAAGAAACTCATAGCTTCTTCTACATATACAGAGACTACAATTACAAACTACAAGGTTAAAGAAAACTAATTGCTTGCTATATGGCTTATCAATCATTAAACAGGATGAAAGGGAAATTAAATGAAATTGATTATATATTCTTCATAATAACAAACCAACTAATTAGTAATTATATATTCTTCATAATAACAAACCAACTAATTGCTTGCTATAGAAACCTATACTAATTAGTAATTACCTTCTTGACTTCTAAACATTATGCTAATCCTAAATTAGGTAGCATGAATCAAACTAAAAGCCTCTTATGATGAATTCCGATTCATTAAATGAGGGTTTGCCTGCATTAATTATTTAAAGTTTAAACCCTCATTTGAGATGACTGATGAGAAAGCTTTTCTGATTACAAACATTAGGCACAATAAAGGTTTCCCCTAAATTCAAACTCTACTTTTCATGGAAATTTTGGAACTGATGACTATTTTCATGTGGATCACACTTTCCATGTGCAAAGAAAAGAAAGATGTTAAAAACAAAAGCATTGCATAAATATAACAGAGCAATGGATAAAAAACATATTACCAAGTCATTGCTGCGATTATTTTCAGCTTCCATATACGGCCACAGGTGTTCAAAAACCTGCGGACTCCGATACAAAGATCCAACCGGAGCTGTTTTTCCGGTGCTACTTTCACTACCTTTACTAATCATACCAACATCAAACCCCATTGTACCCATATACAACAACATTGCAGAGATATAAAGCAAGGGAGCAAATAATAAAATCCCTCGCCGCCTATACACCGCCGATATCACAACATACACCCACCGCTCCACAAAACTCTGCAGCTTCGCGTCTACACCACCACCTCCACCGCCTCGGAAACAGCCTCCACCTCCACCGCTGTTGACTTTGTTACGACGAAATCGAGGGGAGGAAGGGGGTGATGGGGACGGCGAGATGCTCCCACTTCCGGTGCTTGGCCGTCCTAAGCGGCTGTAGCCGTGCATTTCGTGGGATCTTTAAGTTGATTACAACAAATCGGATACCACAAAGATTCCAACTTTCTTCGGATTTCTCACAATTTCAACTTGCCCCAGGTACAGAAGGTTGAAATTGGGAGAAACCCAGATGAGAAAATAAACTAAGAATCAATTACTGTACATGTAACTATACCGAGACGGATTTGGGAAAAAGAATGATAATAATAGTATAGTGTCAGTGTCAATTACAGCGAAGGGGGCATGGTAGCTTTTCTTGAAGAGGTAACAAAAACAACCGGGGGGAATAGAGTTTGGAGTAAATTGGATTCAAAGCGCGTAGCAGCGTCAGAAGCTACAAATCCCATTAAATTCCCACTTGTGATCTTCAATTGCGAATAACTTTATTAAAAATTAGAAAGTGAAAAGTATAGTGTGACTTTGGGTTTTCTAACGTGGTGTTATTTATGACTTTTAAGTTTTAAGTAACGCTCTTCTTTCTTCTGGAGGAGCTTCACCGACATTTTCATGGCATCTGTCGGCAGTGATTATTCCTATGGCTGGTCAAAGTTAACCGTGGACGGTAAAATGGTCAAGTTACTAGTTGACAAGAAAGGAAGTGATTTCAACACAAATCATAGTCGAGAACACCAGATTTGAAATGTGGATGGTGTGACATGACATACTTTTAACTTTGACATTAACAATCATGGAATAAGAACCATTGCAACTTGTTTTCATGTGAGAGAGAGAGATTTATAAGACATAAAAGAAAAAACCTTAAGTAGGAGGGAACTATAAAATGAGGAGCGCCATAAATGGCTTCCCTAGTCTTAAATTGGGGTTATCTCCTCACAAAAGCGAACCAATGGCTTTCTGGATTATAGAATTGTTTCTTGAGACACAACAATAAACAATTAGAAAACTCAGTCCCACAAGAATTGAATTAAGGGGGGAGATAAGAGTTGGGAAGTCAAAGTTGTTTCCAAAGTAAACATTCTGCTAATATAAAAAGAGAGAAAAGGAAATGGATAAAACTCATGCTCGGCGCGTATGATATCTGCATATTAAATAACTTAGTACACCATGTATAAACAATAAAGCATGAAACAAAAAATGTTAGGGGTGAACATGTGCTTAAAGTATGAAAACACAAACGATATGAGTAAATACTATAAATAAATCATGAGCCATGCATTGGCCATAAAGCTTGTAGCAATAATCAAGAGAAAATTAATGAAATAGGGGGTGTTTTAAATAAATAACAATGAAATTTTGAGTTTTGGAAAATGATCATAAGATCCGTAAAGAGGGTTCTGCAGATCCCTTTAATTCTCTGAGGAACGACGTACGGTATTGCGGAAATGACATGGCACCACTAAAAGACAAAAAAAAAATTGGGGCTTTAATGGTTCTGCAGAGGTGTCTCTGCGGATCTTGTGAACACCGCTGTGGATCACTTAATGTCTCTGAAGAATGGGTAAATACTTAAAAATCCCAAAAAAATCTCTTAAAAAATTACTCATACTCATTCCTCAAAGACGTTAAGCGATCCGCAGAGGTGTTCACAAGATCCGCAGAGACACCTCTGCGGAACCTTAAAAACCAAAAAAAAATTGTATTTTAGTGTTGTCACCTCATGTCCTCATAGGTGTTCTAAGTTTCTCAGAAACATTAAGTGATCCTCGGAGCCCTCTCTGCTGATCTGATGGTCATTTTACGAAACTCAAAATTTCATGGTTATTTGCTGAAAACACCCCCTAACTTTTTGTTATTTAATGAATTTTCTCAATAATCAAACTCATAGGACTATAGACAAGCACACAAACTCGGGTCGGTCTAGAAAGGAAACAAATAAGGGTAAATTTTATATTCAAAAGTCTACTCCATTACATTGATTATATGCTTCCGCATTATCCTTATCTGACATTTCGGTGACAATTTGGATTTTTAAGGAATCTAGATGTTTCCATGTTGACGAGCAAAAAACAGTATTGAATCCAAACAATATTATGCTTGAAACAAGTTTATATAAAATTGAAACCAATCTAGTTTGAAGTAGAATCGTTGGTTAGTGATCGGTTTGGTATTAGACAATTGGAATCGGTTTGGCTAAAAAAACCAGTTTTCTTATATACCCCTTGGAAAAATTTATTATTCTTTTGGTCTAATGAGCATATAACCGATTGCGATCGTTTTAATTAGGTTGTCAAGCTTGTACCAAACCTAATCAACCAACTAACCCAAGCAATTCGGTACCCAATATGTTTGGTGGTTAACATGTTTTTCATGTATTATTGTACCAATTAAGTACACACATCCTACTTGTTTTGTCTATTAGTATTTTTATCAATTGATGGTACGTCGATTTCTCCAAGGGTCGAAGCGCACATGCTTGTTATAACCACTATTAAAGTCATCATTGTACTTCTAGGTCATTGGATGCTTGAAATTCAATGAGAAAGAAAAGAGTGGGCTTTACAGTATTCTGAGTTCTCAAGCTTTACCTTTTGAAGCACTGAGTTAGTAGGGTTTTGTTAAAAGAAGTTTAGTGTAGGTTTATGGAAGAAAATGTTGCATACCTCATACATTGAGCGAAGGCATGTATATATAATTGCATATCTAGATAAGATGGTTATTGGTCAGGCCATGACTTGTCATTTTTACTCAAGTCTGTAACTTTGTGGAGTAGTGGGACGACCATTGCCACACTTGGTAGCGTTTTTCAGGGGCATTGTTGGCTTAGTGTCCCATGTGTGAGTCTTTGACCTGCTCCATTAAGGCCAAACAATCCCAAAATCTTTTATCGTTTGTCTTTTATTGGCGCTTGTGTCCATAGTAGGGATGAGCAAATAACCATTACAACCAAGACCAGTTGGAACCGAAACCATTTGGGAATAGAATATGTAATTCAAATCGGTTATTGGTTCTTCCATATCCATAAATTCGATTATCGATTTTTCAGTTCCGGTTTGATTCGGTCTAGTTTTGGACCTTAATGACCAGAAGCAAGCAAAATACTTGTTGGAACTGTAACATCCTCCTTTCAAGCCTAGACATTTTGCATATGTTTTTAGTCAAATAATTTAAAATAAAAATAAAATATTATAAATAAAAATAAAACACTCAAACTAAAAATAATTAAAGTATCTGACAATTTCTTTATCTTAAATTTGAATGTAATCAAATAAAGGATTAACATTGATTTTGAAAACAAAATATTCAAAATGTCTTTGAATTGTAGAAAGGTGATTAGTAAACAAACATTAATTATGTAGAAATTTGACATGTAATATGCAATTTTTCTATTTTAGCCGAAATTTCAAAATTTGTTGCAAATTTGCTACGAACTTTAAATTTTGTTATACAAGACTAGTCTTTTTACAAATTTATTTTATCAAAATTTTTATAAACTTTTTTACTATTATTTTATACTTTTTTAGAACTTTTCAATGCCTTTTAATATTTTTTAGAACCTTTTTATTATAATTTCATTGGAAACTATTCACAATATTCATAACTTTCGCACATGAACGTTAATAGGAAACGATTCACATTTGGATATCTGAGTCAATTTTAAGTGTCTCAACTCTCAACCACACAAGTTTCAATTTTTTACCCTAATATGAATGCACATGATCATTAATAAAAACTCAATTTTAAAACCTTAAAGTTTATACCCATTTCAAATCTCTTTCAATAATCTCATTTTGTGAATGTGTAGGTGATGCATATAATATTTCTTATAGTATATGCTCATAATATTTCAAACAAGGAAAGTTCAAAATACAATATATAACAAATTAATAGATAGGTAATGAATTCATCTCAACTAATGTGGATACCCAACTCCACTTCTAGAGATGTTTGGATGATTAGTTGTCATCAGTCACAATTGTTTAAGTAATTAATTGTTAATTGCATTTTTAACCATCTTAATCAACGTTTCTAGTCATAAACATCTTCATTTATTTCTTTGATATCATCCATAAGTCTATAGAAGAGAGTTATGGAAGCATCTATATTTGAAATTGATCAAGAAGTTTGAAGCAATGTTTTAAAACCCGGGTCAACCCGGCCGGTTCAACCGGTTGGACCGTGATCCGGGGCAGAAGGCGGGTTAATTGAGACCGGTTTTTTGTAAAAATACGAACCGGCCGGGTTTCCCCTAAACCGCGGTTCGACCGCTTATGTTAAACCGGTTAAACCGGTTTGACCCGTTTCAATAGAGTTTGGATAGTTGGATACAAGTAACGAACGCCAAAACAACGAGCCGTTTACGGTTTTTTCAATGTTTTCAATGTTTAAACTTTGTGGACATCAAATTATTAGTTTTATATGTTTATGCATTATGCATGAAAGTAAAAATATATAAAAATAGAAAAAGACCATAAACCGGGTTGACCCGTGAACCGGTCATCACACCGGATCAACGAAAAACCCGGGTTTTAAAACATTGGTTTGAAGTCGAATGACAACAGAATTTGACTCGCTCTAGTCAAATGACATGATCAACATAATTTTGAGTTTAAACCTATAAATGGTTGTCATTTTGATATATAAGCCTCCAATTTATAAATCGTTTTAATAATCATTTTAATGTATGATTTTTTTAATTAGCTCTGTTAATGAATATCAGTTGCTTGCATTAGTTGTCACGTATAAAGTTATAATCAAGTCATGCCTACACGCGTAAATTAAGCTGATACAAAACGTTGACGGTGGTATGTAAAATATTATTTCTCCCCTGTATAGTCCTAATGTCCTAATTTAAGTATTTTTTTTAGTTACTTTACTTAAATATTAATGTACATTGTGTCATTAATATACTATATTTAAATATACAACCATTAAGCTTATATTAAACCATATAACAAAAAACTCAAAACTTTAATCACCATTTTTTATTTTTGCATATTTTATTCGAAGAATATAAAAAATAAAAAGACAAAACAGAGAAATATTGCATATCAACAAGAGAGGAAGATGTGCCAATAAGAATGAAGCAATCTCACCTTATCCACACTCCCACCACAGACCATTTTCATATCCATCAGTCTCACCCACAAACTTATATCTCTTACAATTTTCTTGTATATAAAATTCCACCAACGAATCAAAATCATTCCTAAACACCATCGATCTAATATGGCCACAATGAACTCCAGTGTATTGGCCTGCAACTACGCAGTCTCCGGTGGTCTTGCTTCCCCGGACTTCAACTCAAAGCCTTCCTCCGCCGCACCTGCAGTCGTCAGTTACAAGTTGCCGGTCATCAGGGCTAAGCAGACTGTGAGTTCATCGTCTGGTTCCATTGATCAGTCGCAGCAGGGAAGAAGAGCCGCTCTACTTTGTCTGGGAGCTGCACTCTTCGCCAGTGCCACCTCCTCCGCCAACGCCGGCGTCATTGACGAGTATCTTGAGAAGTCTAAAGCTAACAAGGTTTGGTTTCTTTCTCTAAAACCGTTTTTAAATTAATACATGGTTATATTTAATTAATTGTTTTTTATTTGTAATGGAATAATTAAGGAATTGAATGACCAAAAGAGGTTGGCAACAAGTGGCGCAAACTTTGCAAGAGCATACACAGTTCAATTTGGAACATGCACCTTCCCCTACAACTTCACAGGCTGCCAAGATCTTGCAAAGACAAAGGTTTGAACTCTGATTATTAAGAACGAATTCAATAACATAACAGATTAACAGTGTTATAGATGTAGATTGTTAAGAGTTTAATTTGCATGACTCACAAAGATCTAACTTAAAGATCTTGGGTATATGTGGTTTTGATTGCTTGATATGTACGTAATGCAGAAAGTGCCATTCCTATCGGAAGATCTAGAGTTGGAGTGCAAAGGGAAGGACAAATTCAAGTGTGGTTCCAATGTGTTCTGGAAATGGTGATGAGTCTTTTATGTAAACCTTGTTTGTATTTATGTGTGAAGAACTTCACTCTTTTGCTATATCTATATCACTTTTAATTTCCCATTCTTTTCCTTTCGGTAATCAGTATTCTTGACTATTGTATATAATGTGAATTTGGATGCCATATACTATACGGGAACCCTTTAATTATCGATAAGTACTTCTTGTCTTCAACATAATTAATAAAACTTTAATTTTAAATCGAGTCACTTCACATCTTTTGACATGAAAGTTTTAAAATAAACGAATTGGCCACTAAAAATACATGATAACATATGGTTGAGCTTTAAAACCGAAAACCTAAAACCAGTCTAGTTATCAGGCTGGTCATTGGACTAAAACCAAGTATCGGGTCTGAACCGTTGGATCCTGGTGAACCAGAAATTTTCTCTAGGTGTAGCATAATTTTTTTTTTTTCCTATTCTATTGTTTCTATGAAAGTGTCTACAATGCGACTTGAATAAAAGTGAGCAAGTCGTTTTAAATGTTATAAAAAAAAGTTTGACATGTAAAAGTTCCTAAAAACCAAAAACTAAATGTTTTGGCAACAAACAAAATCATGAGCTAATTAACCATGCTAAAAAATACATGTGTTGACTGCAAATAAAGTGAGCTAATTAACCAACAGTACCCAAAACTCATCTAAAGATTTTACCGGTAAAAAAAAATCCGACTTGCCTATAAACCTTGCTTTATCATCTTATTCATAATACAATTAAGCCAAAAAGTTCCCAAATACAAAACCAAAATGAACAATTAAAAAGCAAGGAACGGAATCACAAACTTACTAGAAATACATATTAGTCCAGAACCTAAACTTACTAGAAAGACATATTAGTCCAAAACCTGCCCAACTATCAAACTTAATTTACACTTTAAATTAACTTTCCAAAGTAAAAACTAGTATATCTATGAGATAAGTTTGTCAATCTTGTTACAAGACTACCACTTGGGCAAAGGAATGCTAACATTTAAAAAGAAACCGCAAAGATTATTGTTTTGGATCATTATGCTAGTAATATAAACAAGTCTTGTTCTTTACACGATTAAACATACACTTTTTACTATCACAAACATAAGACTATAAACTTACACCCTTTATCTTTTAAGACATTTCATTTAAACATTTCAACGAACAATTAATATGAACAGACTTATTCAAGAAAGAACACTTGTTCATATGAACTTAAAATTAGGAGTTTGAAATCAAATGACTAAGAAATTGTGAAAAGGATTACATACCTTTCAGATATACAATTCACATTGTTTTTAGAAACTCCGCCTCCAAGAATGATGAATTTGTTGATTTCTCCTACATTGTGAAATATTTTTGCTCCACTTCAAACTGTCATAACAGATTTGTTATGAGTAATATCAACCATGTTTTGTTTTCCATAATGGAGTTCAATGTTTTTTATTCTCAAATTTTAGACTCCGAAAACATCTTATTTGGATATGTATTGACTGGCTTACAACTCTAAACATGGGGTATCAAAGTTGATTTGTTGATGTTTCTACAATGTTCATAAATTTTACTTCACTTTAAACTGTCATAAACAATTCGTTATAAATCTGACCGGCTTGATTTTTGTTGTGAGGAAAGGACTCTCCCTTTCTGGTACCTTAGAATGTTAGTTGGTGGAGATATCTCGAGAATGTCAAACTGAAGAGCTCTAATTAAAAAGTTTCTAGCATAAACTTTCAAATTGGAAAGCCATTGATTCTCTTTCGGATGGAGATAATGCTTTGTAAAGTGGTTCTCGGGAGCTTGGGATCGTACATGTTATCTCTCTACAAGGCTCCCGCCAAAGTCATTAATAAACTAGAAACCATTTGTTGAAATCCTTCAATCACTTAACCTAGCTCTGCTCTCAATATGGTGGTGGACGTTTAAAAAAGAAGAAAGATCTTTATGGCCTGATGTGATAAAATCCATTCATGGCCCGGATAGAAAACTTAGGGTTTGTCACTCAGTTGTTGTTGCATATAGGAGAAGGGAAACATGTTTTACAGAACTAATGAAGGCTAGGAGTGGGCTCTCGAAGATGATAGGATTTTCATGATTTCTTCCATCAAAAAGATCATCGACTGCCACACTATTGAACATTTAGATTTCCATACTTATTGAAACAAGTTGACTACCAATAGAGAAAATGTGCTATTTTGGAGAACAAGGTTGGTCGTTTACCAACATTGGAGAATTTGGCAGTGAGAAATTCTCAAATCGGATCCATGCTTTGCCCTTTGTGCCACAATTATGAGGTGAAGGAGAACCACCTGGTAAGTGTTCGACAGCTAAGGTAGTAATCGCTCTTCTTAATATGTAGAGTCAAGAGTTCCCAACCAACATGGTTACGAAGATATAGACTTGACAATTCTCAACACGACCCACAACACAACACGAAATAAACGGGTTTGGGTTGAGTTTTTCAACCCGCCAAATCGTCAACCCGTTTATTAAACAGGTCATATATGAGTTTCTCAAAAAAATATACGGGTTGACCCGCCACCCTGTTTAGAATTTTAATAAAAAATTATATATTTTTTAAATGTATTAAGTATTATACATTATATATTTTATATTTTATACTAGGATATGATACTCAATATCAATGACCATTTGACTTGTAGGTAACCATTTGTTGATTTGCATTGCAACGTGGTTTGTGTTTGCCCTAAATAATTTAAATATCCCGCAAAAAACGACTGCATGAATGATCGAATCATTATCGAACGACGTCGACGCATGCGATTGAATTTATTCATGTTTGTCTTAATGTTTTAGTTTGAACATATTTTCATAAATGTTTATAATTTTCATTTGGATGTTTAAGACTTAAGTTTTTAAAATTCGGATATGTTTGCATCAAGAATTTATTCATGTTTAATTATAAACTTTATTTATGGAATCTAGCTCACAAACATACGAACCCAACTCTGACCTACGAACCCACCAACCTGTGAACCCATATAAATAAATAGGTTGATGGGTCATATATGAGTTTATGTTCCAACCCGTGATCCGCCAACCCGTGACATGTATAATTAAATGGGTTGTGTTTGGGTTGGTATAATTTAACAGCCAACCCAAACACGACATGATTGTCAGGCCTACGGAGATATGTTCCAAACTATTCAGAAGGAGGATGGATATAAGAAGGATAAAAGAAACTGATTCTCTTGGCTTTCATATGAGTTTTATGGTGGTATATGGACAACATGATTTCAAAGAGCATGGTGATGAATTGTAATTTCATTTTATGTGAAATTAAAACCACCGCTAAAAACAGGGTTAGGAGATCGTTATCGTGGGACAACTGGAAAATCAATCCCAGCTTGCCTTGTATTTCGGTTAATGTTGGTGTAAGGCTTTCTGGTATGCTCATCACGAGAGGGTTCGTGGTCTACGTGGCCACTAACCACGGATGTGAACATCATCCCAAGGTTTTAGTGGTGGAGTTATTTCGTTGTCATATGTGGTTGGAAGAACGGAACACCACAGCTAATAAACTTGCTTCTCTCTATCTCTCTCTATCTTTCTTCATCTCTCTCTACAATTTAATTAATTAAAATATATATTTTTTATTTAATAATCAAAAAATAAAATGAATATAATGGTGAGTATCCCAAGCTTTTAATGGTAGTTAGTGGTAATGAATTGACATCCACCACTGTAATGGTTAGTGATAAATATAACGAATGACTTAATAATATTCTTACCGTTAAAAATAAATAAATAAATAAAAATACCACAATTAATAACTTTTGATTCCATGCTCTTGTTTATAAAATGTCTGCTAAACGAAAAGATCCAGCACATAAAGAAACGATCTAGCACATAAACCGAAAGATCTAGAGCCCACCTGGCCCAAGAACAACCTATGGGCGAATGGCGGCGGCTCACTCCATTTTCACGGTTCGTTCATCACTGATCGGTCATCACTAAAACCCAAATACCCAATTGATAAATATAAAGTAGGATTGACATGTATAATTCAACTCCGAATCTTTCGATTTGACTAAAGAGTCATCCACGGACTCAAACTCTCTCATCACTCATTAGCCTCAAATACCACAGAATACCCTAAACTATAACATGCCAGAATAGATTACATATCTATCTATGAGTATGGAATCTGATGTTGCTATCCGATTCTAGTTTCCCTGTATCTGGCTGGTAACCAAAGATTCAGTGGTATAAGATCTTAGGGGTTTATGTGGGTTTGTTGATTCAGAAGAGATGTTGAATCTTTGCGTCTTGTTATGTGCCTTTTCTTGTTTAACGGCTTCTGGGGGCCTTTGCTAATATTCTCTTGATCGGGAATAATATCAGCTTGTCGTTCACATCTGTTCCAGCTAACTTTGGTGAGTTCTCTCTCTCTCTCTCTCTCTCTCTCTCTCTCTCTTTTTTTTTTTTTTTTTTTTTTTTTTGGTTAAATCGAGTAAATGGTTGAATTGAAATTCAACAGATTAAATAATTATGGTACATTAATCCCAAAAGGCCCGAGCTTTAGTAGTAGACATAATTTTTCTAAACTTTGATCTAATATTTTCTGCTACTGTAAAATGTAAATTGCATCCTACAAAGATTCTATAATTTGACTTTGAGCGTCAAACATATTGCTTTTCTATTATTAAATCGTTGTACTTTTCTTGAACATTCATTAAGTAAAACGATTGAATCTTTTCTTTTTCAGGGCGACCTGTGACAGGGTCTGGGGAACATGGAACGATATTCCTGGCATCCCCAGTTGACGCTTGCTCACCCTTGACTAATACTTTAACTAAAGACAGCATCAACTCCGGGTATTTACTAATAATCAAAGGAGGATGTGAATTTGTGGATAAAATCCGAAGAGCACAAGCTGCAGGATTCAAAGCAGCAATTGTTTATAACGATGAAGACACCAATTTGTTCCCAAGTATACCCTTTTCCCTATATGTTTTTCTAATCATTATAAATTATAGAATCATAATCAGGATCAGATAGTCAATTGATTAATAATCTAATTACAGCTCATTGAAACTGCAGTGATGAGAGATCCCGGTGGTATACATATACACGTTGTATTTGTTTCACAATCAACAGGATTAAAACTCCAAGAATATGTTGGTGTCAAGGAAATTGAAGTATTGTTTGTCGAAAGCTACGAGAACTCAGCATGGTCAATTATGGCCGTGGCATTCATTTCGTTACTTGCCATGTCAGCAGTAGTTGCAAGTTGTTGTTTTGTCCGCAGGCATCGAATAAGACGAAATCGCCCCCGAGGCCGTGTTCAGGAACACCGTGGGATGAGCAGCCAGTTGGTGAAGGCAATGCCGAGCCTTGAATTTACTGAAGATTTGGAAGATAATTGCACTTCTGCAACATGTGCTATATGCCTTGATGATTATAATGTCGGAGATAAGATTAGAATTCTGCCTTGCAGCCACAGTAAGTTTTATCACCTATGGTAATTAATGAGTTTCTCTGTTCTACGTATTTCTGGACAAGTGCCTCAACTAATAATCATATGTTTTAATCTTGAATTTTGACAGAATTTCATATGATTTGTGTGGATGCATGGCTGACATCATGGAGAACATTTTGCCCCGTTTGCAAGCGCGACGCCAACACCGCCACACCCGATCCACCAGCCACCGAACGCACACCCTTACTATCGTCCCCACCCGCTTCCGTGGCATCAACATCCATGTCATCATCTGCCAGGTCATCATCCTACGTGTCATCAAGACCGATGCAAATAGGGGGCTCGCCTACATCACTATCGTACGCCCCTCGACAATCATTCCCGAGTTACCATGAATCGCGTTACCCGAGCTCAGCTCAAAGCTCATTAGACATGAGAAATGCATCTTCTTCATTTAGATCTTCTCGTGGCTCTCATTTTAACTCCAATTCATTTGCCAGCCCTTCTTTATCGCCTCTGAATTCGATTTATATGGCGTTTTATTCGAATTCAGGTGATGGTTCATCGAGCTACATTCGGTCTTCGAGTCAGCAGGCACAGTCTCTGCTTCAAAGAGAGTCTGCAGTTCAGTCCCCCCTACAATGTTGACTATGTCGTAAAGTAGAAAAAAGGTGTATTGTTCATAGTCTGCTAACGTATCACCAAATTAAATGGCTTCTCATTCTTGCCTGTATATACTGTTTTTGGTTTGGTTTTGCTTTGATTTGATATTTGGGTTTCACGCAATGATTGGGTGTTTGATTACGTAGTTGTAAGATAGTTGTAAGGGTGTTGTATCTTATGTGGATAACTTAGTTTTTTTTAGATAAAACTGCACAAATGGTCTCTGTGGTTGGCTGAAAATTACTATTTTGGTCCAAAAAGGTTTGGAATAGAACTAAAGATCCAAACTTTTCATTTTGTTTCGAGTTTGGTTCAATTTGTTATGAACTTTTTCTTAATGATGATTTTGTCATTATTTTTTGTTCTTTTGCAATTATTTTATTACTTAATTGTTTTTTTATTAAAGGAAAAAAAATTAAAAATAAAATTTGTATTTTTCTATTTTATTTTTCCTTCTTCATTACTTTTCCTTTACGAAAACTCTTTAATGGTTTCTTCCCCAAAAATTTATTAAGAACATCAAATTAGATACAAGAATTTGCTATCAAAACAAGAACAACACCAAATCTCATTTCAAGCTTTTTCCAACAAAACCTAGATCTCATGTCAAGCTTCTTTTGGTGAACCTCTAAAGATATGGCTCCCGCTTATCTAGTTCCTCAAAACCATCGAGACCTGCAAAACTACTCACCACTTCCATCGAACACACCACACCCACCAATAGCTTTACCTGAAACCACAAACCATGGAATCAAATTTCTTCCTTTGTTGGGTCCATCTGGGCCTCCCCAAAATCTATCAATTCATTGATAGGTTTGGGGGTGAATCTAAATGGGTTGCATCATCTCATAACTGGCTCATCATTCAGGAGAGATTTGGTGTTGTTGGTGGTTGTGTTTGGACTTTTTCGCCATTAAAGCAAAAGAATCATTAAGCTTGTTGCTTGAATTTGTTGGTATTAGAGCTTTGTTGGTTCTGCAAGTCGAGAGAGATATGAGAGGAACAGATAAATCACAATCTTCCTCCGTTGCTTCTTCGTCATGTTTTGAAGATTCAAGATGGTTAAATCTGATGGGTGTATCTATAAATTACCACCGAGCCACAATAGTACACAAAAACAGATACACATACAAAGATAAGGTTCATAAATCAAACAATGTTGCAGAGTTATGGTTCAAATAAATCAAACAATAGTTCAACACATTCACGGTGGGGGGCATAATGGTAGCTTCGAAGATTTGAGTATCAATATCTCCAATTTGAACTTCAAACTGATCTTCGTGACTCACTTCGAACAGAGAAAGAAGCTTTCTACTCTACAATCCAAGGTTTGTGGGTAGAGGTGGAAGTTGATCTGCTGGTAAGAGGAAAATAGGCGGAGCCGATCGGTGGGTAGATGGTAGATTACGACAAAAGAATGCAAGTTCAGTTTGTGTTGGGCTGGAGAAGTTGCATGTAACGCCCGTGTTTCTAGGCTTGCCATTTTTAGCAATGTAATAGTCTAGGTTAACCTTGTAACTCAACTTGAAATAATAAGAATGTATTATTTGTGAATTATTTGAATTATGTGATTTATGTGTGTATTTTCTTAATTTTATAATTTAATAAATTAAGAATAAAATAAGCGTCAAAATTTAAGTGTGAGATAAGCCCGACATCTTTGCATAAAGTTGTAGTGGTCGAAACAAGGATTCCGGAGATATAAGGAATGCCAAAATCCGAGTTATAACGAAGAAGTTATGACCTGTCGAAGTTTCGCGACAGAACCGACACGACGCGGACTGACGTAAAATATGAATTTAAGATAGAGCGATATTTAGCCTTAGCGATCTAAACGAAAGTCGTAGATTTCGTTAAACCGAGAGCGTGCATAAAAGGAACGCCCAAATCTGACTTCGTATGAGGAAGTTATGATTTTATGAAGTTTCGACTTAGCAGTATACAGCCCGAATACTCGATTTGATATCGAGCGGTTTTTAGCCGAAACAATCTAAATGAGAATCGAAGATCTTGTTGTTAGTAGCGAAGCGATGAAAAGATAGGCGAGAACGGACGTCGGACGAAGAAGTTATGATTTTATAACGAAGTTTTCCTGTCCGAGCCTTCTAAAAATAAATAATAAAAATAAAAGTCAAAGTTAGCCGACGCAGTCTAAACGAAAGTTGTAGAGCGTAGTCTCACCTTCGCGTGGATATAAAGAACGTCGAAATCGGAGTTCGTATGAAGGAGATATGAATTTTTGAAGTTTTAATAAATATTTTATATTTATTTTAATTTAACTCCGATATTATCCGAAGAGAAGGAGAGGCGGTCTATCCGAAGTACGCAGCGCGTACTGCTGTACGCCCCGCGTACATCATAGGGCACTCGAGTTCTACGGTAGTCCGAAGTCGTAAGCGATGACGTAGAGGGCCCGGTGACGTAAGCGCTGACGATCTGCGAAGCATTACGCCCCGCGTAACCCCGAGGATCAGCCTATAAAAGGAGGTCCGAAGCAGCTTCTTTTCTTTTGCAAATTTCATCATTCTCTCTGGTCCTTTGCCTCGTTTTGCGTGCCGTTTATGCCCCAAATCCCCGGTATCATTCCCGAGCCCCGAAGCAAGATCCGAAGCCCCGAGGATCCCGAAGAGCGTTATTCCCGAGCCGAAACGCTGCTCACGAGGAGCCCAGTTTTGTGAAGATCTACGGAGAAACACCTCTTCTGCAAGCCGTAGTGCTGCCCGATCATCTTTTGATCAAGTGAGTGTGTAGTTATTTTCATTCCAACGCAATATTATGAAGTATTTCATATAAAATACGTGTTAGGTGCATATATTTGGTTGTTATACGTGTGAGTGTATATTCACTCTCTTCTATCTTCTAGATCTGATGTATTCTCTATGAAATACGTGTTATGTGTGTATGCCTCATCTATTATGTGGAATATGTATTGATTAAAGCATGTTATACAGGTTTTTAAACTATGTATAAAAATATATATTTTTATCTACTAATATGTTGGGTAGAACATGGGTAGATAATTGGTGTGTAATAAACAGATGAGAGGCCTCGGTGTTATTGGTGTTATTCTAGTCATTCAGCAGAGTATGGATGACGACCACGGACTATTCTAGACTGTCCTGTGGAACACTAGCAGGCTCATTACCTGTAGGTGTTGTGAACGACGTGTTCACCGGTGTACTCTATCCCCCACATGGTTGCCTTCAGGATACTTATTGTTGAGGAAGCCCCTCTGCAGTAATGTCCATCCCGATGAAAAATCCTGAAATAGGTTCCTTATAATAGACGTTATTTTTAGGAACGTAAGGTGAGGATAACGGGAATGGGTAATCGGGTTTATTGTTGATTGTTGAAATTAAATATAATTATTGTGGGTTGAAAACCCTATATGCTCACCAGGCTCCCAAGCCTGACCCACTCAGTTGATTTATTTTACAGGAAGTGGCGCAAGAGCTTAAGATGGGCGAACATCAAGTTGTTTTGTTTACAAGTCTGTATATGTATATATTTGTTGAATGACTTGTAATGCTATCGTTTATGCTTTATGATCTGTATCGGAACATGACATCCCGTCTTTTGATTATGAAATGAAATCATATTTCTTTATGAAATGTTTTGATAAATATCTATTTTATCATGTTTTGTTTTTGGGAACAAATTCCGCATCTCTTTTAAAATTAAAAGGATTTACTCTGAAAATTATTTTAAAAAGCATAAATGAAATCGGTCTTTTCTGGCCGAGATTTTGGGGATGTCACAGTTGGTATCAGAGCATTAGTTTAAGCGAATTAGGAATTTGTAGGATTTCTAAACTTAAACTTAGATGCTAAGTGGAGATTGCGAGGTGTGTGTCTGTTGGATCTTAGACACAAGCACTAGTTTATTTTAGGAAAGTTGCCTAAAATGCTTTTATGTGCTAAATGTTATATGTTGCCATATATGATATTATTTGTTCGGATCTACGGTTTGTTGCCAACCGGATCTGAAGGTTTATGTGTTTAGGATTCTAAGCGTATGTATACGATATTAGAACTAGCATGTAATCGTTTGGAGTAATAAGGTGAAATTATTCGGTGTATAGATCAAAATGGTGAGAACAAGAAGCGGAGTTGGAAATGCTAATGAAAACAGGAATCAACCGCCTGTAATCGAGCAAGTACCTGTCGTAGCTGCTGCACCTGAGCCGATAACAATGGCTGGTGTACAAATGATGATTCAAATGATGTTGGATCGTCAGATGGAAGAAACAAGACGCCTGCTTAGGCAGAATCGTGAAGAACCGTCAATTCAAGCGGAAGAGCCCGAGGAGAATGGAGGGCAGTCTGAAGGAGAAAACTTTAGTGGGATCATTGGTCAAGACGAACAACCAGTGGTTAGACGCAATAACCAGTATGGAGGAAATGATGGTCGTGGGTGCAAGTATAAGGATTTCATGGCATCCAAACCACCATGCCTATCCGGAAGCCCGACGCCGGTACAAGTTATGGACTGGGTCTCTGAAATGGAGACTATGTTTGAAAGTTGCGAATGCAGCAACAGGCAGAAGACCGCTCTTGCGATCCCTCTGCTAAAATCTGGCGTGTTGAGTTGGTGGAAGCTGTTAGCTGACTCTATGCCCAAGGGAGAAGCAAGCAAAATGTCTTGGGAAGACTTTCTGGAACAACTAAAACTGCAATACTGCTCCGAGCAGGACCTTCTGGAAATCAGTAATGAGTTTCAGAATTTGAAGAAAGGGAAATTGAGCGTTACTGAATACGCTACAAGTTTCACGGAAAAGATGAAGTTTATCCCATATTTGGTGCCTACAGAACTCTCTAAGGTCAACAAGTTTGCCCTTGGACTACCAGCGGACTATGGTCCAATGGTTAAGCAAGCAACCACATTGAAAGCCGCCATCTGGGCTGCTAGAAATGTTGAGACCCAGATCAGGGAAAAAGGTCTAGAAAGGTCAGAGGTTGGTGAGAAAAGGAAAATCGATGGATTTTCAGGGTCCAGCAAGAAAAGTAAATTCTCGAAGTCTAGTTCGAGAGGAAGTGGAGGAAAGGTAGAGGCGAAATGGTGCGACAAGTGCAAGAAGAAGCATCATGGGAAGTGTGGCGGGGAAACCACATGCTACAAATGTGGAAAGCCAGGGCATTATGCCAACGAATGCACCTTCACCAAGAATGTTTGTTATGGTTGCGGTGAGGAGGGGCACATCTCAAGGGATTGTCCGAAGAAGAAGGAGGCAGCAAGACCCAACATTCCGCCAAAGCCAAAGGCGAGAGCATTCCAGATGACACTGGAAGCTGCTAAAGATGAAGCTGATGTCGCTTCAGGTACCTTTCTCGTTAACAAATTGC